TCATCCCGGGCCGCGACCGTGACCTGGGCCTCCCTGGGCCGGGCGGGGGTCCCAGCGGGCGCGAACAGCCCGCGGAGCTCTGGCCCAGGGGCGGTCAAGTGCCAGGGGAGAGCCGAACACACGGCGCATCTGAGCGCAGCGGCCGCCGGACAGATGCCAAGGCCCGTGACCTTGGCCTCGCAGGCACCCCCATTTTTCGAGTCTCCTCATCCTGCCCTGCCGTCTTCTGAATCGCCCGCGTCGTCATGAAGGAATCTCGATTTCCTTCACTCGGCTCCACGACCCTCGCCCTCTCCAGGGTCGCCCAGCCGCTGGTGCGGGCCCCCGCCTTTCCCTGGACCCCCGCTTTGACGCTGCGCCGCCGCCGCAGCTGGTGGGGACCCGCTACTGTCCGGACGCGCGTTGGTCCTTACCTGGGCTTTGGGAAGAGCTGCGTGAGGGTCAGGAGCCCTCGCCTTCCGCTCCATCAGAAACAAGTTCAAGAGCAGCAGGAGCAATGGGCAAGGGGGCCCTGGCTGGGGGGCCAGGGACAAGAAGGGCGAGAGAGCGAGAAAAAGAAAGACAGGCGAGGAAGGACACGCGCATTTGGAGACTCGCCTTGTACCCCCCGCTTTAATTTAAAATATATGTTTTTAATGAGTGCAGGGTTCTAAGCGATCTGACAGGCGGATCCACTCAAAAGACTAAAATCGAGGAACCCCAGGAAAAAGAATAGGGCGGTGCGCGCTTTCCCCAAATATATACCCTTCCAGAGTCACTTGGTTTATTTACACTAAAGCGTGATGAACCCCTTCGTCATGTTTATTGTGAAACAGGGCAGTCCTCAGAGGGGAGGGAAATGCTTTTCTCTGAACAAAAAACCAAACACGAAGACTCAAGTCCAGAGCAAAAGCCTTCAAAATACTGGGAGACAAACAAAGTCGTCCAAACCAGAGCTTCCCTTAAAAAAATAAAGAGAGAAAGAGAGAAAGAAAGAAAAGGAAAGGAAAAATGAAAGAAGAAACAAAAAAATCTCAGCCTGGAGAATCAGCAGAAATAGTTACCCTCCCGTGAGCAACAAACGGTTTATCAAAAACGCCTTCCCCATCCCCCACCCTCTCTTCGCCATTCCTACAAACTCTTGGCTCCATTATCTTACACTTGAGCAGAAAATCGTTAGAAATATTTGGAAACGAAATAATGTGTCACCTTCTTACGAAAAAAGCTAAGAATAGCGCGCGGACTGACTTAACCGGAGGGTGTCTTTCTCCCTTTCTTTTCTTTTCTGAAGGCTGGGCATCAGCAGGGAGAAGCGAGGTCGTCCCCGGTGTTTGAAACCGGAAGGTGAGAACTGGATAAAGGAACATCAATTACACATCCTACAGGGGTTCTGCGCGCCCCTTCTCACACCTTTCCAAGATGGTAAACTTGATTTCCTAAGTCGATGTCTCGCTTAAAAAGCACTTCCCTCCCTGTGAATAAAGAATCTGTACTTTCTGTTAAAATGGAATGAGACGTGCAAAAGCTTTAACTGAAAGAAAAAGTCAGACGGAGCATAATTAAAACCTCCAAACACCTTTCCAAAGAAGTGAATTTGGGCTGAATCCATTCATTCCAGAGCAGATTTTATTGTCATAAAAATGAGAAGCTCTTGCAGAAAAATTTCCTGCAGTTAACACTGTTCTGGGACATTTGGTCTAGGATTAAAGGAACTAACCTGCAGTGAATTATTCTGTATTCTTTAAAAAAAAATCGGTAAAATGCCACCTTGACTGACAGTGTTTGGCAGAATAAAGGATCGTCCCACAATTTGGGGAGTAGGAGCAGATTTTCCAACAGACTAGGGAGAGGGGGAGGCTAAGATCCCGCCCCCTCCCAACAAGTAGAAAACGTGTCCCATTCTTCTGTTGAGGATTTCAAGGTAGAAGTTAGAGGTCAAGCGGTTAAGATAAATATACTGTTTATACTAAAGAGCGTCTTGGCATAAGTAGATGGAAGATAACAGCACGGATCTTAACCCAAACTGAAGAGCGTCCAACATGGCAGCTGGCGCTCCAGAACTCTGACCACCGCATTCAGGGACCGGCCATGGTGACCCATCGGGGAAGGGGCGCACTCGGCGGGGTGGAGTTGATGCCCTGGAGGCAGAGAGGCCGGGCCACCGGCGCTGCAGGTGGGAGCAGCCTCCACGAGGGCGGGCAGGGGTCCCAGCTCGCTGCTGCTGGGGTGCTGGAACTTCACACCTTCCCCTGCGTGCCCGGCTCAGTCGTCCCCTCCCCATATCACACTTTGTTTATAAAAGGTATTTTCCCCCCAAGCAGTCGTGGGTGTGTGTACATCATGTTCACAGTCAACAGTGTACTGCATCAGATAAAAGCAAAAAAAAAAAAAAAAGAACCCGTGTGAAACTTTGCCCGCTCAGTCTGTTTGGAGGCTTTTCAGTCCGAGTCTCATCTCAACTTCCAACATACCACTGGTGTGTTCTGTAGGTTCTGCATGAACACACACGCCCTTCTCTCAAACTTGGTGGGATGTGCGTCCTAATCTCCACAGCCTTAGCGTTTCTTGGCTTAACGAAGAAATCCTCTGCTGCCCTGTTTCCATCGATGCAAACTTTTTAAAGGACCCACACAGCCCATCTTTTTGAGGCACTCCCCGCCCCCACCCGCACCCCCAGCTTCCACTAGTTCCCACCCTTAGCTCACTCAATTTTTACGGTTCCAACAGGTTCCAGAAGTTTTACAGCGTGATCAGAATTCCGAAGTCTTACAGCAGTGTTTGGAAGGCTGATAGAAATCTCTAAAATGGACCGATTAAACGCTGCCCTGAGCTGTTTAGATAAGATACTGTCCTCCAGTCCTGCAGGGGACTTGGTACTTTCTAGCACAGTTTACAACATAGTTACCACCAGAGCTTACTCCTCCCTTCGAAAATATGCAACGCCGTAACCCCTCGGACCCTGAGTAGGCGGGTGAGTCCTGCTCTTGCGAAGGGGACAGAGGACCGGGGACCGTCCGCCTGCCAGTCAGGCAGCGAGGGGACCCACGGGGCAGAGACCCGCGGGCATCGGGCGCGGCTCCGAAGAGTGAGGTCCCTTCCTTCCTGTTGCTTCAGCGGTTACTAAAGATTAGTGAGGTGGAAACACATTCAGGTGGGAAGTGTGGAAAAGACAGTCCGAAGGTCGGGCAACGACCCGAGTGTCACCTGAAGGTCTGCAAAACATGCGGGCAAATGCAGCCATGCCCCCACCCCGGCCCAGCTGCCCGGGACGCGCGCCACGCGCCCGTCGGTACCCTCCAGGGCACAGACAACAGTCACACAGCACTGACAACACGCAGACGACACCGGCGAGGTGCACACCAACACACCCAACGACAGGCTCCGCCATTGCGAGGCGGCTGCCAACCTGGAGCGGACAGGAAAAGCCAGCGGGGCCCCGGCCTCCTTCCTCCGAAGCACGTTACCTAAACGTCGCAGGTTGTGTGCAGGCAGTTCCTGCTCTACCCTACAGATTATGTGAACGCAGGAGCCGTGGGTGCGCGCGGGTGGGCCGGGCGGGGAGCCTCCCCTTCTGGGTCCCGTCGGTTTTATTTCGGGAGCGGGAGGGGGAGGAGGGAGGGCTGGGGGAGGGGAGGGGAATCCCAAATTAAAATACCCTCAGTTATGAGGACCTTCGGTGGCATCGGATATTCACACCAGCAACAGTCACATTACATTCGCCTTCGCCAGATGGCGGCGGGTTCAACTTCCCGGGATCTCGCAAAGTCAGGCTGTGCGCCCAAGCGCGCGCCGGAG